TATCGTGGGGAATGGTTGTGTATAAAGTTGAAAAAAAAAAGTTTTTAAGCTGTTGATTTTGGTAAAATCTTGTGATTTAATATTTTCCAAAAGTTCCTTGGAATTTTTAAGTATCCACATCTGATTTACACCATTTCTCGAATATATTGTTGCACAGTACTCTTGAAGTTTCTCCTTCACTACTGTTAATATCATAGTGAGGAGTAAAGAAAGAGACTTGGTTGAACATTTACTGGAACCAACTATGTATCTTTGTTTGTAAGGATTTTTATGAAGTTTCGGAATCCAATATAGATATGGTAATTCAAATTCATTTTGGTTGTTTGGAATATTAAAAATTTTCAAAACTGACATATGATTTTGAAGAATTTCTTCCTTAGAAAGGGAACTATGAGTATAAGTTGGATTGCCACTAGTAGAATTAAATCCAAGTTCCTCTAAAATACATTTAATATAATGAGCCTCACAAACAAAGACAATGTTGTTACCTGCTTTATCAGCAGGGACCAGTACGTACTGATCATGTAATCTAATTCTTTTTTTCGCTTCTGGATTATTGAATACAGAAGGATAGATGGTTCTCATATTGCTCCTCAATCTTTTAATGCGCGATTTTAACATACATCTGATACATTTAATCAATTCTGACAAAGTGTCAAGGTCTTCTTTTTCATGTCTGGCCAATCGCCTGGCGTAATCCTCTACAGAATCCATAAATATTTATGAAATTCCGACGCCAGTTGAAGGATCGGGGTTCCCTATATTTAGGACCTTTTAAAATTAGCGATCTAAGGTCCTCATTATTAACTATATTTACGTCACCGTCACCAGTAATAACGTGTCCAGCAGGACTATAGCTATAGGGTGAAGAAGAACACGAATACGATGGAGGATTATGCTTCAGATATTCGATATCCAGACCCTGTAAAGTTTTCTTGTAATTAAAAGTTTGGAAGCAATAGTCGATGTATGTTTGTAGGAAATACAAGGTGTAGTCTTTAACTTGAAATATGGTGGAATACAAGACTGGACCCTTTTGTGATTAAGAATATTGCTTATATTACCGCGTCAATTCCTTTGTTGGCATATTGAAGTTTAAGGAAAAAATGGATTGTTTTAGTTGCATTTTCTTCAGTAAAACATGGGGGTTTAAAAAGACTATGATTGGCAATATCCATAATCACAGATCCGAGCCTATATTCTGGCGTCGAGGAATAAAAAAATGGACTTTCCTTGACCTTTTCAAGTTTCAAAAGATTCAAAGGGACAGAGTAAAGTTTGGTGCGAATATGATGTAGACCTAACTGTTGATTTACGTAAGGTAGTAATGAACCAAAAGAGACATCGTGTATTAAAGGTTTATTGTAAGACCCATGTCCCATGACTAGGCTTACGTCTCTGTGTATGGTTAAAAAGTTCCATCACATTTACATTGTTACGCTGTGGACTGGAAAGATTTCCAACACTATCGACATTGTCATTACATCCATAGGGAAAGGCTGTCCCTAGTTTTCTAATCCAAGATTCTTCTCGTTGTCTACTGATAGGTGTACTCAGTGATGGACTGTTTGTGTGGTGGTAAATCTTTTCTTGATTTCTAACTTTCATTGACAAAATAGAATGATCAGGTAAATTAAAATGCTTGTATAAAAGCTGCTGACCACCATTATTTATTTGAAATCTATGACCTGAAATTCTTTTATTAAGTGATCCCCTGGTTTCACCAACATAAACAAGTCCACAAAGATTACATTCTATTCCGTAGACAACATTAGAAGATTTGCAGTTCAGATTTTCCCAAGTTTTGGTTTAGAAGCTCTGTCCAGTAAGATTACTGGTGAAAGAAGTGTTAGTTATCAAAATATCACAGGTTTTACAGTTTTTCGCAGAACATTTTGAAATAGACATGGGATCGGAAAAGGAATCTTCAAATATATCTCTAATAGAAACCTTCCATTCTTTCAATTTTTGGTATGAACTATTGGTTTTATACTAAAACTGGGAATCTGAAGACTGTACATATGACATATGTTTAATATCCCTGAGGATTATCCGAGGGGCACCGAATGAACTCCTTGAGTCTGTGTCCCTTATAGACTCAAAAGAGTGATGCCTTTTTATACTGGGCGACGCGTCTGTAATTAATTATTCCTTATGCATCACACGTGACATTCACGATACATATTTTATTTTAAATCCCATATAATACATTTGTTTGCATGAATTTTCTTTTTGTTTCATTTTCACTCGGCGAAAATTTAATCAAAAGCCCTGACATCATTGGTAAGGTATTTAACCCCTTGACAAATATTTCGTTATTAATACCATGCAAAAATGTCATGATATGATTTGCATGTTTCAATTTATTTCTAGGTCTTGATATCAATCTTGAAATAGAAATATTTAAGCAATCATTATCTCATCTCATAAGTTCACTTCTTATAGCTTAATATGGCTTCATATTCTAAAGGTAAGTTAGAATATCTAGTGTAGCCTTAATATACCTGAGGTAGTTTTCTTGGAATGGGATTTTTTTTTTTAAATCTCATTTTAGAAATACGATATCTTTTATCTTTTAGAAATATTTTTGTCAATAATAACATACTTGGTAAAATAATGAACAAAAGCATGCAGAAAAGAAAAGATTAAAAGTGCTTCAAAGTCCAAACTAACATTTGATTTTTTACGCAGATATGTTAAGGCATCCCGAAGCTTTAAAATGCGCTCAAAACATAATATGTCATTGCAAGGTCGGTTTTGATTTTAATTTAATACGTATTGAACTTAAGTACGTCCAATTTATATAGAGGGTTTCCTCGGCTATATATTAACATATTTGTTCTGATATCACATAACTTTGCTGATCACGTGATGGTCATTTATAATTTTTTGAAGTGTTTCATATAAATCGCTTCGGCGCAGCTGATTAACACAATAATTATTAACATTTTGTTATATAAATAAACTCATCGTATCACTGTGTATCCGAAATGTGCTTGGGAAAAGTCATAGTATTACTTAGATACAAAATATTTCCTGAGAAATTCAACTTACCTACAGATTTGAGGGTATTTTCCACACAATAGCGTTATCTGTTTTAAAACAAAGCCAACACACATTTTTCCCAAGCAAGATTCAGTTAGAAAACAACCTCTTCTTACAGATTTCCACAAAAATTCTCAGATTAATCCTCATTAATCACCTGCGCCAGACTCTTTTATACACACAAAATAAATTCTACCTCCAACCACAGGAATAAAACAGAGTACATTTCAAAAGTATATTTTTCATAAGCATTTTGAACATGCTGAATTTCAATCAAGGATAGGTAAGCGGTGTATTTTTAAAATATTCGGACATATACGACTTAAAAAACCTTTAACGACCCCTGAAATTTGCAATAGCTATCTAGCATTTTACATGCAGTTTGAAATAAAGTGTAAAATTCATGACACTCTCCCCGTCATAACACCTCAAGTTTGCAGTGACTTGACGTCATTTTCCATTATGACGTCATATTTTGGTAGTTCATAGATGTGAAGGCACAGAGTGCACTGTGATATTCTACGGGAAGCCTTATCCTACCTGCGTAACCATATAAAGAAAAACTTTGAATCTCTCACTATGAAAAGATTACATTAAACTGAATAATCTGTAAAACATAGTAAAAAAAGGACTTTTATGATGCTTATTATAACAACATAAACACACACCGTGTTACAAATAAATGTACATTTCTCATTTTCCCATCATGTTAGAGATCTATTAAAGAGGAACACGTGTAGCCATTTTTCAATGTACATCTTGAATTTCAAAATATTCTACATCTTATTTTTCTCTCAATCGGAATCCCTATCTTAAGAACTACAATTACTTTAAATGTTTTTAATAAATGTTATATTCTAAATCAAAACGCTACCTTAGTTGAGGAAGTATTAGTTCAGAACATTTGTAATATAAAAATCAAAACGATAACATGAAATAAACAAATTTGGAATTTCTGACTTTAAAAAGTGATTTAAAAGTTCTTTAATAGTCTCAATGCAATATAAGTTAAAAATTCTATACTTACAGATTGCTTAGACTTGACAGACTATTAAATACATTCTCTTGTATGCTGGTTATTCTGTTTTTGGATAGTTCTCTAATGTGAATGTAGAGAAAAAGAAACAAATAAGTATTTGTTTTGATTTACATATTTGATAGCTATCTATATATAGCTAGAAAGAAAGAAAAACAATTTTTTGACTCTACACATTTTAAAGGTTCAGATTTACAAGTTTCTGTCAAAGATTCTCAATTTTATGTTCTTTATGATGAAAATTGGAGTGAATGTCATCTTTCATCTGTTTGTTGAACAAGCAGAACTATCAAACACTTGTCTCATACAAAAATGGATGGCAGAGGCAAAGACTAAAACATAATCATTATGGATTTAATTCCTGATAATTGATAATGTTATCTGTATGCCCTATAACTTCTATCCACTCTGTCATTTCTATGTCCTTATCAATGCGTGCTGCATTACGACTATAGTAATACAGAGTATGACATTTTAAATAATTAGAATACATCGAATTAGATTTAATAGTTCAAGATTTGTATTCTATCAGGTCTTATGAATTTATGACCTAAGCAATTAATCTTATTTTCATTGCCGATAAACAGATGAAATAGTAAAAATTGTTTTGGATGAAGTAAGCTTTCAATAATTGTTTTCTACATTGTTTTTCAATAAAGATATATTTTCTTAAGTTTTCAGTACTATCATTGGTTTTATTAATCTATTTTTAAAATTCATTTTTCTTGGGGTACCTAAATTCATGAAGTAGAATGTAGAGATATTCAAGTCATTTAGGATACTGTTCGGAACGTTAATATTTTGGAAAAATAAAACAATAAAATGAGAAACTCAAATTTGGAATTTCAAAATTTTAAACAGTGATAAAATAGTTCTTTAATTGATTCACTGCAATCTAAGTTAGAAATTATATACTTACAGAGTCAATAGACTTGACAGACCATTAAATGCATTCTCCTGTATGCTGGATATTCTGTTGCTGTATAGATCTCTAATATAAATGTAGAGAAAAAAGACACAAGTACTTGTTCCGGTTTATATATTCAGTATTTATCTATCTATAGAAAGAAAAAAATGTTTTATTTGACTTTACACATTTTGAAAAGGTCAGACTAAAAAGTCTGTGCCATAGATTCTCAATTCTATGTACTTTTTGATGAAAATATGTGTGAATGCAGAGTAAAAAAGAGTCTTTTATAATGCTTATTATTATGGAAATAAGCACACAATGTAATGATTTACATTTCTTATTATTTCATTATGGTAGAGATCTAGTAAAGAAGAAACATGTATAGCCATCTTTCAGTGTGCATCTTGGATTTCTAAATATCCTACGACTACTTATCTATCTCTCAATCGGAATCCCTATCTTAAGAATTTCAACCACTTTAAATGTTTTTATAAATGTCATATTTTATATCAAAACATTACTTTAATTTAAGAAAAACAGTGTTTATATATTCAGTAAAGGAGAAAGGCCTCAAACTGTCCATTCTGTATGGACAGTTTGAGGCCTTTCTCCTACTAAAAACATGATTTCCTTTATTCTAAGAATTAAATAAAAAATGTACAATTCTGGTATCAGATGTGACAGGTAGCACATATACAATGACAAGTTAATTGTTTACAGAATGGACAGTCACAGGTAAGCTGGGATGAACAGCAATTTGTTGAATAGTCATTGTGTTTTCAAATGCAAATAACAAATAAAAGGTTTTCGTCTAAAGATTGGACAGTTACAGGTGGATTTTGGGGGATACTAGTATTTATACAAGGATGCAATGCTTCAAAATCAGTTTATACTTTGCGTTGAAAAGATATGCATGTTTTCCTCCGATGGAGACAGTATATGACAGATGAACTAAAAGATGCACAAAATCAGAAATAGTTGGACCTGGGAACAGGGAATAGTAAAAGAAAATAGTAGCCAAACTTTGACCTAAAAATTAATTTCTTCTTCGACAGATACAGATAATCAAATTCGAATCAAATCTGGAAATGGTTTATTTGAATTCAATTTTTGAGGAGATGTTGACTGCAGCAGAGTAATGGCATATGCAAATTGTGTTCTGAGTCTTGAATTAGCCATGAGCCAGACTTCGACCTGAAAATGTATTTCAATTCAAATCTGAAAATGTTTCAATTCTAATTATTTTCTAGGGAAGCAGTGCAGTGCTCATGGTGCAAATTGTTTTCTGTGTGGTGGATTTAATACAAGCCGTACTTCATTCTTAAAATGGATTCTTCTCAAGGGAATAATGTTTTTCAAATTTAAATCAAATGTGAAATTATGTCATTTAAATTCAAGTTTTGTGAAAATTCAGTTTCGAATACATGTATTGAAATAATGGGCATTATTCATGGATTCAAAAGTATAAAATCGAGCGGATGCTGTGCAGACATTGTTTCTGGATTAACTTGGATCTCCGTGTTAATTTTGTTATTTACCTGTAAATTAAATCGTATTTAATGTATTTGTTTTTGTTTCCTCTTGGGCACATTCCAAAGTTTAACTGCAACTGTCCATTCTGTTTGTTTTAACTGTCCATTCTTTTTTTTAAAAAAAAAACTGTCCATTCTTAAAAAGAATAGACAGTTTTCCAAAAAGAATTGACACTTATATGTGACTTAATGGATTGTTTGGGGAGTAAGCTCAACATTATGCTATAGAATGGACAACACAAACAAAAGGTTTACGTCACAATCATGTTTTAATGTTATTTAGAATACAGTTCGACAGATTTATAACACAAGTATTAAAAAATAAAGTGAAGAAGTCAGATTTGAGTTCCCTCATTTTTAAAAAGTGATTTAAGAGTTTTTTAATTGATTCACTGTAATCTAAGTTTTAACTTCTATACTTACAGTCTAGATAGACTTGACAGACCAGTAAATGCATTATCCTGTATGCTGGTTATGCTGCTGTAGGATAGGACTCTAATGTAAATGTTGAGAAAAAAGACACAAGTAAGTATTTGTCCCGGTTTATATATTCAGTATTTATCTATCTAAAGAAAGAAAAAAAAATAATTAATCTGACTCTTCACATTTTTTTTATAAGGTCAGATTAAAACGTTTATGCCATTGATTCTCAATTTTATGTTCTTTTTGATAAAAATAAGTGTGAATGTAGCGTTAAAAGGGTCTTTTACGATGCTTATTATTATGGAAAGAAGCACACAATGTAATGATTTACTTTTCTTATTTTTCCATCATGGTAGAGATCTAGTAAAGAAGCATTATGTGTAACCATCTTTCAGTGTGCATCTTGGATTTCTAAATATCCTACGTCTACTTATTTATTTCTCAATCGAAATCCCTATCCTAAGAATTACAATTACTTTTAATGTTTTAATAAATGAAAACACTACTTTAATTGATGAAGTACAATGTTTACATATTCATGTCATTTAGAATACAGTTTGCAACATGTATAAAGCAAAAATTAAAACGATAAAATGAAGAAGAAGAATTTGAATTTTCTCATTTTTAAAAAGTGATTTAAGAGTTGTTTAATTAATTCACTGTAATCTGAGTCATTACTTCTATACTTACAGTCTAGAAAGATTTGACAGACCAGTAAATGCATTATCCTGTATGCTGGTTATGCTGCTGGCGTATAGGACTCTTATGTAAATGTTGAGAAAAAAGACACAAGTAAGTATTTGTTCTGGTTTATATATTCAATATTTATCTATATAGAGAAAGAGAAAAAATATTTATTTGACTCTAAACATGTTGAAAAGATCATATTAAAGAGTTTGTATCACAGATTCTCAAGTTTATCTTCATTTTTATGAAAATAAGAGTGAAGGTCGTCTTCCTTGATTTGCAATTTGATAAACAAGAACTTTCAAACACTTGTTTCAAACAAAATAAAGATATGGGATAGTAAGAGCTTTTGTGCATGAAGTAAGCGTTTAATGTAAGTTTTCTGTATGTTTTTCAGAAAAGATATGTTTTCCTAATAAATCGTTTGTATCATTGATCTTTGTAATTTGTTTAATTAAAGTTGTTTTTAAAATTCATCTTTTCTGAAGGAGGGAGAATTGTTTGAAAACTTATTTTAGGAATACAATATTTTTTTTTATTTTTTATTGATATTTGTGTCAATAATAATTATATACTTGGGTAAAATAATGGACAAAAGCATGCAGAAAAGAAAAGATAAAAGTACTTCAAATCTCATTTGTGTTTTGGACCCTATAAAGAAACTCTTGAAATCTATTTTTATTTACTTTAAACTAAACAAACTGTAAAACAGAGTAAAGAAAAGTCATTTAATGATGCTTCTTATAATGGAAATAAGCACAATGTATAACGATTTTTACATTTCTCATTTTTCCATCTATGTAGAAATCTATTAAAGAAGCAAGTGTAGCCATCTTTCAATGTGCATCTTGAATTTCAAAATATCCTACGTCTACTTATTTATCTCTCAATCGGAATCCGTATCCTAATAATTACAACCATTTTAAATGTTTTTAATAAATATTATATTTTAAATCAAAACACTACTTAATTGATGAAGTATAATGTTCACAAATTCATGTCTCTTGAACATTTATATTGCAAGAAATAAAACGATAACATGAAGAACTCAAATTTGTAATTTCAGAATTTTAAACAGTGATAAAATAGTTCTTTAATTGATTCAATGTAATCTAAGTTATAGATTCTACACTTACAGACTCGATAGCTTTGATAGACCATTAAATGCATTCTCCTGTATGCTGGTTATTCTGCTGCTGGAGAGATTTCTGATGTAATTGTAGAGAAAAAGACAAAAGTTAATACTTGTTCCGGTTTATATATTCAGTATTTATCTATCTATATAAAGGAATAATATTTTATTTGACTTTACACATTTTGAAAAGGTCAGATTAAAAATTTGTGCCATAGATTCTCAATTTTATGTTCTTTTTGATGAAAATAAGAATGGATGCAGAGTAAAAAAAAAGGGTCTTTTTTAAGGTCTTCTGTCTCCAACGGAAGACCTTATTGTTTTCGTTCGGTTTCTTTTCCCCTTTTATTATTATTATTATTATTATTATTATTCTAACCGATTTTGTGCACGCGAGTTCTCGGTAATGTCTTGGCCGATTTTCATGAAACTTTCAGATCTGATAGGTATTGATCTGAACCTTATTGGATTTTTTTCCCTTGATGACGTCACTTTCCATCTCGAGATATTTAGGATTTTCTGATTTTCAGAGGGTCGGATTGTCCTGGAAACTCCTTAGTTTACTTACTACTTAAGATATTGAGTCAAGATTTTCAGTGAAGGTAGAGGATGGATTGCAGATTTGCAGACGGGTGTCCAAATCTCTCTAGCGCAAAAGGCGCCAAAGCTCAGTAGGGCTCAAAAATGTCTCAGAAACATCTCACAAAATTTAAGACCTTTTCTTTCATATCTTTAAACATGTTTTAAAAGAATTTGTTAAAACATATAGAAGAAAAGTTGTGCAGAATGATACGACCTTTTATTTGATACCAAGAAAAAGGGGCCTCAGATTAGGGGCTCAGAGGGGCCAAAAGTCTGTCATTTATAACTCTCTTACAATCAATAATTTGTAATACATTATTGAAGCAAAGATGTTTGTCTTAACAATTTACAACAACATATTATAAGATTTTGATCATATGTTACATAATACTAGTAAGGGGTCACAAGGGGCCAGAATGCGAAATCTTTCCATTTTTCAGTTTTCTGACATTTTCTGATTTTAAAATGAAATTTTGTCTCCCCCTTTCTTTCAAAAATGGCTAAAGATCTAAACTGGAGACTTGTAAGAGATGATAGATGATGGCTTTTAGATGTACGGAATTTCTTTTTTGTTCGTCGTTATTACTTCCGGTTGCTAACGGAAGCGAATATAAAAAGTCGAACTTTTCAACTTTTTTTATTTTTGAATATTGTTTTGCAAAGATATGACCGATCCAAATTTTGTCACACTGGTGGTGGTGGTGGGGGGGGGGGGGGGTCAAATCCCGCTGGGAATGTTTATCTTTTCATTCTTTGTTTCTCTCTTTTTTTTAATTTGTAAACGAAGACAAGTATGGCCGTTTCTGCAAATTTTTAAAAGCTTTGTTATCAGATTTTCTATAGAAAACACTTAATAATCATGATTTTTGTTGCAAGACTGTGGTACATGAACGCAAACGAAAAGAAGACCTTCTGATTCTGTTGTTTCTCTTCCATTATTTTTTTTTTGGTTACCGATTTTGTGCAGACGATTTCTCGAGAACGCCTGAATAAATTTTCATGGAACTTTCAGCAATGATGGCAAATTATCTAAACTTTATGCGTTTTTTTTTTTTTATCATTACTTCCGGTCGCGAGATACGGCCAATATTCCATTTTCAAAATGTAATTTTGTCCTTGAGTGTACTCAAAAACGGTTTAAGATTGAGTCTTGAAACTTTCAGAGATGATAGATTGTGACTCGTAGATTTGAGAAACCTGTTTAGTTTTGTTGCCGTAACGTCCGTTTTCCACCGGAAGTAGTTTAAAACTATACAAATTTTTATTTTTTTCTTTTTGAAATATTTGTAATAGAGGCAAATAGACTGTTTCGAGTCATACTGTATAGGGTATTAATTTCACGGGTTGTACTTTTCACGTTTTTTTTTACCTCTGACACGATCGCAGTTTGTTGAATTCGCGGAATGGGACATAAAAAAGTTACCTCCCTTGTCTCAATCAGTTTAATCCAAAGCATAGCTAGAACGATATTAATCAGATATAGATTTAATATTCACATGACGATCAATCAAAACAAGTGCCGAATTTCTATTCCTATATGCTGTTGCGTTGAGTGCATGTACACCGCAAGATCTTTTTTCCGAACGGAAAACACATTGCAAGTCCTGCATTTCAGTTGTTTTTTTTTCTTTGAATCTTTTGAGAAATTTTCACTCGCGGTTTCACTCTTCCTAGCACGTATGCCAGAGCCTACTTAAACACGAGACCTTGTTTCATATGGTTTTATCTATAGGATCTGTATCTTTGTCACTTATTGGATTTGAACTGGAAGTATAAAGGGTTATGCCCATTCGGACTAAATATAGCCAGAGATTTTATTAGTCAGAATGAAAATGTATTAGCCTGAAACTAACGGACCTAAATGTAAGTATTGAATCTTGCACAGTAAGGATCAGCTCCTTATTTCACAACTCTAGAAGAAAATGAGAAAATACTCTTAACAACTATGCCACTTTATTTTTGAAAACAAAAAGGCATAGGTTCAACAATACACTAGCCAAAATACTTTAAATATTGCTATATGTCAGAATTTGATATTCTGTAACACATGTAAAAAGTCATGCAGCTTAAGTTTTATACGATATGAAAGTTTGAAATAAATTTAAGGGATGTCAGCTGGATAAATTTCTGAAACTCAGGTTAGTCCGAAATTTTTCTCACCAAGTAACAGGTTAATCAAACAGACAGGACTTGTAAGAAATCTTGTTATTATTTTTTTTCAGTTCATTTTCTTACATGTATAAAACAATTTGTAAACATTGATAATAATCAGAATTCTTTACTTTCACTTATAAATTAAGAGCTGTAATATTAGTTATTTCCTATGTAGCTTGTAACACGAACTTTGATTGGTTACAAAGTCGGGTGTAAATTTCCGTACACCCGACTTGAGCCGGGGGTAAAAAACTTGACGTCACAATGCATGGTTTCTCTATGCATTCTACTTCAGGGTGTCTGGAACAAAACCCAGGGTAAATCCCCATACACCCTTGATTTGACCTGGATAACTAATATTATCTAGGTTCAATCAAGGGTGTACGTGGATTTCACCCTAGGTTTTATACCATACACCCGAAGGCCGTACACTATGTACAACCTTGATTGAACCTGAATAACAAATTATTTCCTATGTAACGAATACATTCTTTGTAAACCTAAGTCTTACGTATCAATGGTGTTTCAAATTATCGATAAGATTTACTTTTGGTTACGCTGCATTGTCATGATTGTGACGTCATGTTATTTGTTTTTTGTGCTAGAGAAACAATACATTATGACATCACATCATTTACCCGAGCTGGAGCCAGGTGTACAGAAATTTACACCTGGCTTGCTAACCATTCAGAACTTGTGTTACAATCTTGATAGGAATAATGAGAGAAATTGATTGTTAGCTGTTTTACATCCTATCGAGAATTTTTCACTGATGTAGAGACATTACCACATACCATGAAGGGCTTCACATTTATAAGACCTATATAACTTCGCACTCAGGCCATTGCATGAGCAGTGAGGGTTCTTTATCGTGCCAACATCTACTGTGATATGGGGCCTTAGTTCTCATCTGAAAAACCTGTAACTTTTACTTCTAAAACCATGAATTCTGGATGTTTGGTGAAGCACTATCTATGTTTACGTTTTAGGTTTGATGCAGTGAATGAGAATCAAACCTGGTACTTCCAGATCACGAATTGAACGCCCTACCACTAATAAAGCTATCATGACAGGCAATGAACTAGAATAAATACCATGTAAACTCCTGCTTAGTAGAAAATTAGTTGTTGTTTTAAACTCATTAATTGAAACAGAAAATATAGGTCAAATTCTTTATGGCGGGGAATAATTTGTAAACTTTTGATTAATAATTGGATTATAATGACTAAATAAATGGGACTTGTTTTGACAATCATATTTGAAAAATATGAAAATCATAACAGGTTACCATCTTTCTAACCAATTAGTGTATTAACCATTGCCGGCATGAATAAATTTTATACATGTACGGCAAGTTACATTAAATTTACATATCTCACGTGAAATCATGAAAATTTTTTTACATTCATCCTTTTATTTTACTTTTATTTCATCCTCAAATGATTGCATGTAAAAAGCAGTACTTTACCAAATAATGCACAGAAAATGTGACAGTATCTTTGTACTCAAAACGATGGTTTATTATTATGTTCCCCAAACGAAGTTTGGGAACATATTCTTTTTACTCTGTTTCTTATTAGGTCTTCCGTTTTCAACGGAAGACCTATAGTGATTCTACTGTTTCTTCTTCTTCTTATTATTAAGGTCTTCCGTCTTCACGGAAGGCCTTATAGAGTTTCTACTGTTTCTTCTTATTATTTTTATTATTTTTTTGACTTTCTAATTTTGTGCACGCGATTTCCCAAAGACTATTGGATGGATTTACATGAAATTTTCAGGAAAAATGTGTCGTAATATGAACTTGATCTATCTGGGAGAAAATTTGGAAATTCACTTTCGGTGCCAAGTTACAGACCATTTTTTTAATTTAAAATGACATTTTGTCCGCAGATAATCTCAAGAACGGTAAAAGATATCAATGTGAAACTTTCAGGGATTATAGGTCGTGATAAATACTAGCCGGGACATGGCCTTTCGTTCGTCGTCAGTACCTCCGGTCGTTATCGGATGCAAATTTAAAAAATTGAATTTTTAAACTTTTTTAATTTTCAATATTTTTCTTTGATAGTAGTAGTGTTAATAGAGGCACTTCTGAAAATGCTTAATATATAATTTGTTTTCAAATAGATAAATTCAATCTCTAGATATTCGCATTTTAAAATTTGAAGCGGCTCCAAAATGGCGGCTGTCACCGTACACTCCGATGAGCAGGTCGGCACTCGGAGCTCCTCGGGTGGCTCGTACCTCGCACACTAACCTTGGACGTCAACGGTGTTCAACCATGTTGCTGATACAGTCATGTGATCTTCTTTG